CGAGCATGCGCACCAGCTCCTCCTTGCAGCACTTTGCGCGCTTCATTCCCCGGAGCTTCTTGGTGTCCTTGAGCTCCTTGGCCCCCTCCTTGAGCTGCTTCCGACACCCGCCATAGGCATCGCACGGGACCCTCACCGAGGCCGCCGCCAATGCCCCCCCCGGCCATTGGAGCCCCCGCCGCGAGTGCCACCGCCGACCGGCCAGCCGCGGGGGCTCTAGCCGCCAAGGGCCCCGCCACGAAGGGTACGGCAGCCTCTGCTACAGCCGTGCCCGCCACGTCCGATAGCGCGTGCTGCTCCCCGACGTCGTGGCCCAGCTTGCCGCCCACCATCTGCTCGGCCTCACGGCCAGCTGCACCTGGAAGCCCTGCGCGGTCTCCATCTTGGTCAGCTTCACCTGGGGGGGCCTGCACGGTCAGCTGCACTTGGAAGCCCTCCGCGGCCTCCAGCCTGTGCAGCTTCGCCTGGGGGGCCTGTATGGGCAGCAGCTGCATCTGGAACGGCGTGCCGACCACGTCCAGCGACACCTGGAGCATCGGCACAGTCCACCGCTGCACCCGGAGGCCCGCCACCGCCTCCATCAGGCCCGGCTTCACCTGGAGGGTCCTGGCCGACCTCCTGCCCCGCGCCGCCACGCACATCCGGCCTGGCCTCCGGCGCCTCGGGGGCGCCCAGCGCCCAGAGGCACTGGAGCACCTTCTGCTCCGCTGAGGTGCCGCAGCGCGCTGCAGCAGCTGCCGACCCTCTCCGCCGCCCTGGCGGACCTGGCCGCGGCGAGGCCCCCCGCCCTCTGGCGCCGCACGCGCAGCCGCTGCGAGGCCCTCGCACGGCCGACCCGGCATTCCCTCGAGGTACTCGAGCTCCGCATCCCCGGAGCCGGTGTGCCCGTTGCGCCCGGCGGGCGTGGGGCGCATCCACGGCGCTGCAAACCCGACGGATGCCTTAGTTATCACCACCCACCAAGCCACCCCAGCCCAACCCGAAGGCTCAGATTTACCCTCGATTTCTAGCAGGGGGGGGGGATCGGGAAACATCGAGGAAACACGCGTGGAACCCGTACCCCCCCCCAACCCGAAGTTCGGGGCTTCGGGTTGAGTTGGGGTGGTCTGGCAGGTAGTCATTATACGGTGGAGGCGTTTGTTAAGGAATAGCCCCAGGAGGCGCCAGACCCTGGAGGGTTTCTTGTCCACTGAGGGCCGCGGTGATACCCATGGCCGATCCACGATTGGAGCTCCACGGGCTTCCAGACCCTGGGTTCCTTATCTAAGGGTTCCTTATCCAACGCCCCCACCGTAAATAGGTGTGCTGCGGACCCGGCCGAAGGGCAGAGCCCGCCGCCTTGAGAGCCAAAAGTGGCTCGAGCCAACATGGCCACGGGCACGGTCGACTGTCCTGTGCGCTCGGGGCGGAGGCGACATGAAGTCTGGACCCCCTCCCCTCGGAGCATCCTATCCTGCACGCTCGGGAGCCCCACGCGATTCGGAGGGCGACGACGACGACGACGAGGACACGAGCACGGAGGGGAGAAGGACCGACGAGGCGACACGGGAGAGGATTCCTGCGAGGGCGGCGAAGCGCGCTGGGGCTCTCGCGCCCGTGCGCCGGCATCCCCTGCCTGCGCACGGGGTGGGTCTGAGGCGTCGGGCCCAGATCTCCGTCAGGGGGCGAAGAACGGTATAAGATAAACTTCTCCGCCGTCGGTGACGCCTGCCCCCCAGGCGGTTGCGAGGTCCGTACCCCCACGGTGCCCCGTAGGGGCATAACCTTTCCAGCCGCCCATGGACAGGCGCCCCCGACGGCGGAACAGTTTCTGTTATACCGTTCTTGGCCCGCTAACTCCGAGGATCTGTTTTTTTCAGTCGCGTTTTTTTTGTTCTCAGCTTCGGCCTCTGGGGGCCTTTCTTGGGCCCTGGGGACCATCAGGGATGGATCTGGGGCGAAGAGCTGGGCGACGCAGAAAAACGGGTTCGATTGCGCCGACATTGGCGCGTGAGTTTCCCGCGTAAGGTCGCGCGTAAGCGCCCTCGTCTCCGACGTCGCGTGCCGCGCTGGCGGCCCACGTAAGCCACCGCGTAAGGTCGCTACGACATCTCTCGTAAGGCACGTTTTCGTTCGTCGCTCAAGTGGCCCGGGGGAACGGGTCGGGACCTCTGGGGCAGCGCATCGTCGTGGCGGTGGCGGCCCTCCCTGGTGTTTTTCGATGTGTTTTTCTTGCCTGTTGCCTCGGCAAAGTTTCTCGTCGCCTCGTCGCCACGCCTGGATCCGCCTCGGAAAGCGGGCCAGAATGTATCCTGGGAGGGATCTTCGGGGCTCAAGAGACGGGGGTCAGTCAGTCAGTCAGTCAGTCAGTCAGTCAGTCAGTCATTTAGTCAGTCAGTCAAGCGGGGTCAGTCAGAGCGCCGGACCTTGCAGGATCCTGCAGAGCCAGGGCTGCATTGACCCGGGCCTGAGCGCAGGAGCCTACAGGATCTCGCAGGATCCTGCACAGCCAGACTCGCCCGGGGCTGGATGGAGCCGGGCCAGTGTAGATCCCCGAGAGACCCCCAGATCGGATTCCGCTCTGCTGCCGGGCGCACGGGGGAGGAGGAGCAGGAGGAGCAGGAGGACCAGGAGGAGGAGGAGGAACGAGGAGGACGAGGAGGAGAAGGAGGAGGAGGACGAGGAGGAGACAGAGACGAGCGACCAGAGGATGCTTCTCCAGAGATGCTTCCGAGGCGCTCGCGCGGCGCGTGCTCTCGACCCGGGCCCGCCGGCACTCCGCTCGCGTTGCCGGTTCGCGCCCCGTGTCGAGTCGGCGACCCCTGGGTGTAAGTCGGGCGCGTCCACCTACAGGGGCATTTTGGACGAAAAATTGAGAATAGGCAACACATGCTCCAGAAATGATCAACCATAGTCGAACATCGTCCCCGTATTGTTTTTTGGCCATTTCAAAGTATTGCCCCTGTGGAGGGACACGCCCGACTTCACCCTGGGGTCCGGGGACCCGATCTCTGGAGCGGAGGTTTTTGGGGTGCTGGGCGGGAGAGCCGCCGCCGCCGGCGAAGCGGGCCCTCCTCCGGAGTACAGTGGGGGCGCGCCTCGAGAGACCAGCTGATTTTCGTCCGGGTGCCCCGGGGCTTCTTCGCTCCGCGCGCTGCACGGTGACTTCCCGCGGCCGTCAAAGGAGCTGATGCGTTCGGGATGCTCGGGTTCTTCCCTCAGGTGCGCCTCGCGCGCGGGGTTCCGGGGTTGGGTTTCTTGCGAGGGTTTCTTGCGACCGCGCCCGCATTGTAGAGTGGGCGGCGAGCGAGGGGGGGAAGCGAGAGGGATTGCGGTGGGGGGTGGGGGTGGGGGGGCGTTCGTCAGGGAAAACGTGCCCAGGAGGCTGCAGACCCTGGAGGGTTCCCTGTCTGATGAGGGCGGCGGTGATGTCCGTGGCCGATCCACGAGTGGCTTTCCACTGGCTTCCAGACCCCGGATTCCCTACCGCAGCTATCCTCGTCCGATGCCCTGACCGCACTCTTTCCGTGTGGCCGATTAAGGGGGCCACATGCGAACCCGACCCCGACCCCCCACGATTTCTGGGGGGGAGGGTGGGGTTCACTTCGTTCGGAAACTCCCGAGCGACGTGAACCCCACCCTGCCCCTCAGAAGTCGCGGGGGGTCGGGGCAGGGCTCGCACGTGGCCCCCTGCCGATGGTGCTCCGCCCGGTGGGGGGCCGTGGCCGCCTCGTGGGCGCTCCAAGCGCGCTGGCGGGGTGCGCCGAGGTCTCCCGCCCGGGGGGCGGCCGCGGGCGCCTCGAGGGTGCCGCGTGCTGCTCTCGGCGGCGAGCGAGGGGGGGGGGGCGGCGAGAGGGAGAGAAGAGGGGAACAAGAAGCGGCACAAACATAGAAACTCGGAGGTCCGCGCGGATTTCTCGGATCGGCGCTGGGCCCCCCTGGCGGCGCCTCCGGCGCCGCCCCTGGCGCGCTCCGCGCGCCAGGGAGGGGGGTCCAGCGCGGATCCGAGAAATCCGCGCGGACCTCAGAGTTTTTATGTTTGTGCCGCTTTTTGTTCCCCTAGAGGCCTCCTCAGAGGGCGGCGGGACTCCTCCGAGAGGCCCCCGCGCCTCCCGGGAAGCTGCCTGCGTCTTCGGGGGAGGGCGCAGAGCGCTTTCTCCAGAGGGCGGCGGGGGCGCCCGAGCCCTCCGAGAGGGCCCGCCCCTGCTCGCTCCCCCCTTGGGGCTCGCCGGCGATGGGCGGGGGCAGAGGGCCGCGCCGCATCGCCGATGCATCGGCGATGCGGCGCCGTCTTGAGCCCGGTGCAGCAGGCACGCCAAGCAGGAGCAAGTCGGGCATGTCCCTCTGCAGGAGGCGTAATCCAAAAAGAGTAGAGAACACTCGTGCAGGGACGATGTCTTGACGATGTTTGACTGTTCTGGGGTGTTTTTGATTTTTTATTCTTCGTCCGGAAGCAGCCTGCAGGAGGACACGCCCGACCTTAGCAACAGGACACCGCCGTGCCAGCAGGTGCCTCACGGAGATGCCTCCTCCCCCGACGGCCCCGGGAGCCCGTCTGCGACCTGGGCCCCCCCAGGACCTTCAAGGGATCGACGAAGGGTCAGGGGAACGAAGAATGCCACAAGCAGAACAACTCGGAGGTCCGCGCGGATTTCTCGGATCCGCGCTGGGCCCCCCTGGCGGTGCCTCCGACGCCGCCCCTGGCGAGCTCCGCGCGCCAGGGAGGGGGGTCCGGCGCGGAGCCAAGAAATCCGAGCGGACCTCCGAGCTTGTATGTTTGTGCCATTTTTCGGCTCCCTGAGGGTGCGCCCCAGTACCTCTCGCAGCAGGAGCTTTCATTGCATGTGCCCCTCGTGCTCTTGACCTCGCCCCGGGATCGGACGTCGCGAGAGCATGCAACATCAGGGCAAGGACACGACCAGAGCCCTGGCTCCCATCTTTCAGGAGAGGAAAAAGCACACAGACACAATTAATCGTCGACTCCCAGGAAAATGTGGGAAAATATGGGAAGTGGGGGGGAAGACAGAAACCCAGAAAACATGGGAAACTATAAGGAATAGTTTTATTTGTGTGTATTTATTTGTGTCCTGGGGCCCCTTCAATCTTTCCGGGGCCTTTCTCGGGCCGGATCCACACGTGATGGCCCCTGGGCCCGCGAGAGGGCGAAAGCGCCTGGCAACCGCCTGGCGTGCAACAGTTGCAGCGCCCAGGCCTCAGGGCTTGCGCGTCGCCGACGCATCGCCGATGCATTCCAATGGAACAAAAGCCACCCAGACCCGATGGTTGGCGTTGACTAAACGGCCCTGGGCGTTTACGAAACAGCCCTAATTACCCTTTTCGATCCCTTCTTTGGGTGCGTTTACTAAACGGCGTCGCTCGTCGGGGTGGCTATCATGGGGGTGGATGTTTCTGCCCTCTAGCATTGGTGGGACGGGGCTACCTACCGATCCCGTTTGCTCGGGCCCCGCTTTGTCTGCTGGGCAGCCCCCACACAGGCCGCCGGGGCCGCCGCGCCCGCGGCTGGACCTCCCCGCCATGATGGCGCAGCGCAGCGTCCCGGAGCCTCGGCGCGGCTCGAGGGGCGAGTGGCCAGGCGTGGTAAGGCTTCCGGGTTGCGCGCAGACCGAGACGGGGCTCGAAGAACGCGCAGGGAGAGATGGGGCCAAGGCTGCTGTGGCGAGTCCCTGCGGCGACGCCGCATCTCTGCGCAGCGCCAGATCTGAGGGTCTGGTGGCGCCCAGGCAGCCCCCCCAAGCAGCCCCAGCTGGCCTCAGCAGGCCCCCCGAGTGGCCCCAGCTGGCTCCGACAAGACCCCAGCGTCGTCCGGGGCGCGCTCCACGCTTCCCAGGGCCGGGGCGTGGAGGCCGCCCAGGACTGCTCGGGGGGCATGTGGAGGCCAGCTGGGGCCACGCGTCGGCCGTGGGAAGTAGGTACT